CCCCGCGACGGCGAAGCCTCAGGTGCGCATGCGCGGACGGCCCGGCCCGGGACCCCCCCCCGCCGCTCAGCCCTGGGGGGGACCCGGCCCCGCTTTAGGGTCTCGCCTGCGAAACGCTAAGAAAGAGTGGAAGCATGCGTTGAATCATGTGCAAAAACTTCTTATAATAAATTTTCCACGCACGCGTAGTTGAAAATTATTTTTTTTTCCCCACTGTTCCGGCTACTGTAAGTCTTTAATTTGGCTAAAATGGTGCTGTGTGCTAGCATCAAGTCCTTAAAAAGCTTTAAATTAATACCAAACTTATAATTAGGCTGATAGTTATAGGGCAGTTCTAAAAGCAAGTAGCCAATAAACATAGAAAACAAATTAAAGAGCAAATCTTGTCTTTCTACATCACACATAAAGTTTGTATTATTTCACTACGCAGTTTCCATTGCCATTTTATGATTTTTATATCATCACTCTCTACGAGTAAATCTAGCCTCTGATTTACTCTTACATGCATTATGCTTTAACATCAGTACTTTGTGGTGCCTCTTTAAAAACACTTTAACAAACACTTTAACCTACAATTGTCATCCTTTTAAAAAACAAGTTATACTTCAGACTACATATTTTTAATCACATTTTGATCTGACAGCGTGTTGAGTTCTTGAGCAACCCTCCAGGAGACTACATGTAAAAATGAAAAAACCTGACAACCTTCTGTGATGAATCAACCCTAGAAAAAAGAAGACATTTTCACAACTACTCAAGAAAAATCACAGGAGATACAGGGAAAGATTTACTTCCCCTGTTAGATACAGATGCAACACATTACCCAAACAGGAAACTCTACATCTTATAAACGTTTTATGTCTAGTTATTAGAACACTCATATCCCAAGTACTGAGGGTCAAGTTCCTTCACTGCCTGCCCAGATACAAGGCAGGATACAATACATTCCTACAGCCCTGGATCTGATTTCTCTTAATCTCTGCTAGGGATGAAGTTTCACATTTTACATTCACTTAAGCAGGAGTCAGATCTCAGGTTTCCTTCTGCTTTGAGGAGGTCCTTAATCAGCCAGCTACAATTACTAAGTAATTTACATAAACCTAAACCACTTCAACAAACATATCAACAAGAATAACTTACTGCCATATATTTAAGACACTTCCTCAAAGTCAGAGACCATGGTCACATTATTGACTTACACAGAGACATCTGAATCAAAGTAACTTGACATCTCAGCTTATTGATCTGTCACACAGGACAGTGCTTGAGGCCCTAGCATTCAGAGCAGTAGTTTTCAGTTTGAAGCACTGAAGAAAATTTACGTTTTCCATTCTTCCTGGACCAAATAATTTGCTAAGTTCAACTGGACTTTGTTAGGAGTTTGCAGGCAGCTGAAACTGATTTTGTGCAGGTGAAGGAAGTTAAAGGGCACATGATTTACACCACTCTGACAATGGATGGGAATACAACTGATAGCTTACTAGTGTAAACTGGCTCAGTTTTTTAAAGTAAGGTATCTTAGGTCAGAGGACCTCTGTTCAGATACACCTCTTTTAGCTTCTGATCTTAAACAAAGACCAATGACATAAGTAGACACTTCAAAAAAGGAGTTCTCATCACTGTAATATACCACTCTCTCCTCCATATAGGAACAGGGAATACTATCTCCACAAATGCTGGGTTTTGAGGCAGATGCCCCTTTAGATCTGAGTGAAAAGTCAGCAACACAAGGCTGCTCTAACAGCTGCACACTGAGTTTGCTTGATGTTCTGAAGACAGGACACAAGTTCTCCAGAGCTGCAGCAGGATAAAGTAAGCTTTAATCATTAACTGCTACGGCCTTCTAGTTTCATATTAAAGTAGCAGCAAATCAGTACCTGTATCTTTCCCAAAACATATTGGTTTTAGCTTTTCTGATGAGTCTAAATCTAATAACCATCTTTACTTCTACCTTTTTGGCTTTGTATTCTCATCAGCTTCTATTTCCTGCTGGCAGGTCAGAGATCCATCTCTCCTAGAACTAAATATTTCCTTTGGCCAGGTTACAAAGGAACCATGTTAAGCTACCCAAAATTTTTATTCTCACCTTACTGCCACTATAAAGGCAAGTGGTTGTGTTTTTGTTAAAGATTCCGAAAGTCAGAAGATATTGCAACGTGGTATGACTGAGACTGTAAGAAGAAATAAGGACACATGCAGGTAGCTGGTTTTAAAATTCTACACTTCCTTTCAAAAAGTTTAATAGCATTAAGTAATCCTACAAACCACAAAAGACTGTCTGAAATACAGAACAATCAAATAATATAAAGATGCTCCCACCAAACTTAAAGATTATATAGAGTTATATTCTTGTTATATTCTTGTCTTTCTCAACACAGAAATCATTCTAACAGGCTTTTGAAATTATCATGGCTTGGGGTAAAACTACATGCAACAAGATGAAGTGTTAACACTAAACTCATATTTTCTCTAATTTAAAGATTGGAGGTACCTATTAATCTGTAACATCTGTTCTTATAAGCAACTATATTTACTATTTATTTTGACTACAGATTTCACTGAAACATTTAACATACAACAGCAGGGCCAAACATCCCTGACAGAGACAAGCTGAAAAGCCCTCTGTTGAAATATTTTCCCCACTATTTGTCTGTTGAACAAACTTTAAGTTCCTGAAGTTTTTCACTTAGGTAGGTAGTATCGGCCTCAGTCAGATTTTCCGAATCTGGCAGATTTTCAAGGAATCTGGTTCCTGCACAGGGCTTTCCTGTTATTGGATCTATGACATTTCCAACCTTGAAAACAATTTCAGCCAGTTCGTGTTTCACATGTTTGCTCCTTCGCTCAGGCAAAGCTTTCAGAAGAACAATGTCTCCAACAACACACTGCTGCAATGGATCATGGGCAAAATAGGTTTTTCGTTTGTTAAAGAACTGTAGAAGGAAAAAAGGAAATCTTGGCATTAGATTTCAAAATTAAGCAATTGGCAAATATATAGTTAATATAAAACAAACTGAATTTCACTAAGCAGAAGTTAAGTCTTATATTTTTTTCTAAATGAGATTTAGTTTGGATCATGAAGAGAAATGCAAGTGTGCACTCTACTGTTTTTCCAAAGAAAGCACAGCACTACACTTCCCTAACAGTCTCTGGTCAGGATGTTGTTGCCAACTGAGCCTGCAGAAAAGGAGGTGAGGAAGAAAAAGCCAAGTACAAAAAGCTGTTCATAGTGAACATGTGGATACATGTAAAAATAAACTCTTCACTTAACATAGGTCGTCTTTCCTAGCATCACCACTTTCCACTGGCAGAAAGCTGCAGTCAGTGCCACCCTCAAGACAGCTGCCTTGGCTCTTCCAAGCTGAATGACTTTCCTGTCCAGTCCACAGTTTGAGAACTGATATTAATTCTTATTCATCCTAATATGTCTAAAGTTCATCAGGCCTGAAATCAGTGGTCTTTTAGTTTGTCATTTGAGAGTTTTCTTGCTCAATTCATTTTCTTTCATATAAAAATGCAATATTTATTCTTATTGGAACAGCAGAATTCATAATCTTTCTTTTAAGAAAGAAGTCAACCAGTTGTTCTACTGCATAAAGTATTGGACTGGGATCCACAAGACCCATTATCTAATCCTGACTCTACCCTTAACCTTCTGGTCACCAAAGGCAAGTTATTCCACCTACATGTACCATGGTTCCCCCATCTAAAAATGGAGAAAATACTAATTTTAGCCTCCCTGTTTGAAATGTATTGACAAAAAGTGATAAATAGAAAGCTTGTATAGCACAACACAGAATCAAATACTAAGTATGCTTACAGTTATTTGTACTGAAAAACTGCTACAAAATTTATTGTCAAGTTTCCAAACCAGAGCATACTCCAAATCAATATGAAAAATTAAATCTAAGGGTGAAACAGCAAGAAGTTACCTTCTCAACTGAGACCAAATGAAGTGCATTAACAAAGCACTTCAAAGAAATATATTTAGCAGATAATTTATAATGAAGTGTCCTCACAACACACTGCTTCGCATCCTTTGAAGTCATCCCCACAGCCAAATCATTATGCAAGTTCCTTAAGGAGTTTGCATTGTAAAGAAGTATCAAAAATTCTATCATAATAATATTATAATAAAACATTCCTTCACAAAGTACAAAAATCACCATGCAGGACAAGATGGAAACCAGCTTTTACCTTTAGTAAGTAAGGATCTAGCACAAGCCTTGTCACTCTCACTTTGGCAGTTTTCTGCATTTTGGTTCCTATTACTTTCCCTACTATCCATTTTGCATGGACAGCTCCACGTGGTACAGACATTGTTCATTTATGGTCATCCAGTGCCTGGCAACAAGCAAGCAGATATGTTATTTTAACAAAACAACCATAACCAGTTTCTGATCAATACCAAAATATGATTTCCATTTCAGACTAACAGGTCATTTTGTTGGAAAAGCAGGGCAGATACTATCAGTTCAAGACTCCATATATTGCACTACCTCAGCCTTGTTTTACAATGTAAGAAGGGATATGAGCATGGGCCCATTACCAGGGAAATCTAATTCAGGATGACAGTGAGGATGAGACCTTCGGCCACAAAGTCCACAAAATTCCTTCGAATCATACCAGCTGTCACATATACAATACAGAAACGTGTAGCTGTGGAAGTTAATATGAATTTAACTCAATACTCCGGCAGCTGATTCTGCTGGAGACCTGTTAATCAGGTCTGTATGTGACCAGAGCTAGCCCAGAGAACAGCCTGTAACTTTTATTCAGAAAGTCATTCTGTGTATCTCATCATTAGCTGAACTGATGAAATCTAAGTAGGGCAATAAGCTTCTCAAAGCATAAATGGCATATCAAAGAGTTGTCTGACCTACAGTAAGCATAACCACTTCTGAGTTAGTATTTTCCTGTAAGTAATTATACTCCCTTGTTTAATTAGGGAAAGCTTTCCACAGATAGTTAAGCATTAGAGGACTTGAACTAATATTAAAACGAATTAAGACTAATAACATTTTCTTCTCCCACCCAGCTATATACTGTTAAGCACAACTGACACTTGTTGAATTCTCCACCTATCCATTTTGTAAGATTGAATGACAGCTGCTTTAATGTTGCAACACCTCAAAAGAAACATTTAGGGATACAGAAGCACATCCATAGGGTGAAATGCTTCAAGCAGCAATGCTTAGGGTTGCTTTTATCATCCCTGACTCAGCTGTATGACACGCAGGGCTGCAGGAGAGTCAGTGTGAGGCCCTCCTGTAAAACAGGGCTCACCACCACCAGCTACACAGTGACCAGGCCGGGGAGAGGCAAACGTGTACAAAATAAGCACAAGGGAGCTACCAGGAAGGCAGGAGGCAGACAGCTAGGCCGGGTGTCTCTCACAGCGAAGAGGAAGCCTTCCGCCCGCCTCAGCCGGGTCTCCCCAGCCCTCCCCGCCTGGCCCAGCCTCAGCAACCACCCCAGCAGCAGGGCCGAAGGGGAAGGCCCGGCCTCACAAGCACCAGACCTCAGCCACGAGCCCCCCAGCCCCACC